GTAGGGGGACAGGCCCGACCTAAACCTAATTCAGGGGTTCCTGCTCCTCGGGCCGAGTTGTCGGGCGGGTTCGCCGGGCGGGTTCGCCCATATGCAGCGCCCGCCTCGTAGGCGCCTCGTGGGCGTCTCCGGCGTCGGCTCGCGCTCCAGGATGCACGACTAGCTTTAAGTCGGGCCTGTCCCTCTACAGGAGGAATATTCAAAAACAGTAGAAAAATAGTCGGCTGACGATTTTTTAACTATTTTATTTTTGATTTTGCGCCCCACACGCTGCACCACGCGGATGGCACATTGCACCCCACAGCGTGCACTTCATATGGGGCGTTCCCAAAAAGGCCTTCCCTGTAGGAGTCGTCATCTCTTCCACCGCGGAAGGTCGGCGGAAGCGAAACGAGGCCGCCTCCGCCGGCGGAAGCCGGCGGAAGCTCGGCGGAAAGCGGCGGAAGTGAAAAATGCGTTCCCAAGAGATGAAAACGTTATTGGGTTCAGGGTTTCCGAAGTCGCCCATCTGTTTGACGACATGGACTTGCGCCGTATACATGTATGTATGTATGTATGTATGCATGCATGCATGCATGCATGCATGTATGTGTGTATGTCTGTATGTATGTATGTATGTGTGTGTATGTATGTATGTATGTATGTATGTATGTATGCATGCATGCATGCATGCATGCATGCATGCATGCATGTATGTATGTATGTATGTATGTATGTATGTATGTATGTTTGCTGGGTCTGTGTGTATGTGTGTCTGTTTGTAGGTGTGTATGTGTGTGTATGTACTTATGTCATTATGTATGATATTATGTATGTATGTATGTCGGTATGTATGGTATTAGTATGTAGTATGTATGTATGTAGTAATGTAGGTATGTATGTATGTATGTTATGTATGTATGTTGTATGTATATGTTATGTATATGTATTGCCGATCTATGTAGGTATTTCTATACATACTATCGATATAGATATTCTATATATAGAGAGAGCTACCCATAACTATATCTATATATCTACTATATATATATAGGTTCAGCCTATCGCCCCCAGACGCTCCCAGGAGGCCCCAAGAGCCCCCCAAGAAGCCCCAAGAGGCCCCCAAGAGGCCCCCAAGAGGCGTCCCAAGAGGCCACCAGGAGGCCCAAGTCATTGATTTCTATGGAAAAAGGTACATTTTTAGCATGCACGGCTTCTCGGTTTCCACGGCGCTGAAGACGGTCCACGAGGCCCCCAAGACCGCCCCCAGACGGTCCAAGAGGCTCCCAAGAGGCCCCCAAAACGGCCCAAGAGGGCGCCAAGACGGCCCAAGAGGCGCCCAAGACGGCCCAAGAGGGCTCCCAGACGGCCCCAAGAGGGGGACCACGAACCCGAAAGTCTAGTATTTCGCCCCAAGACGCTCCCAGAAGCCCCAAGAGGCCCCCAAGAGGGCTCCCAAAGGGCCCCAGTAGGACTCCCAAGAAGGCCCAGAGACGCCAAATAGAGAGCGATCGGTAACGCAAAAAGCTCTTCACACCAAGGCTCCGAAGTGCGAACGGTGACGTCAACAAGCTGATAAGACCAAGGCTCCCAGCAGAGAGCGGTGACGTAACAAGTTCCTGACACCAAGGCCCAGCCAAGGCTCAGGAACGGGCGGCAACGCAACAATCTCTGAACACCAAGGCTCCCAAGAGCGAGGGGTGACGTAACATCTCTCAACGCCAAGGCTCCCCAGTACTAACGTGGGGTGAGTATTTCGGTGTCTGTTTCTGAAGCGCTCTTGTCCGTTTCCGTGCCGGGCCCCCCCAGAAAAGGGCCCCAATAGGACTCCCACGCAGGCCCAGAGACGCCCAGAGCGATCGGTAACGCAAAAAGCTCTTCACACCAAGGCTCCAAAAAGCGAGCGGTGACGTAAACAAGCTGATAAGATCAAGGCTCCCAGCAGAGAGCGGTGACGTAACAAGTTCCTGACACCAAGGCCCAGCCAAGGCTCACGAACGGGCGGCAACGCAACAATCTCTGAACACCAAGGCTCCCAAGAGCGAGGGGTGACGTAACAAGCTCTCAACGCCAAGGCTCCCGGTACGAACGTCGGTGTGAGTAATTTCGGCTTCTGTTTCTGAAGCGCTCTTTCCGTGCCGGGCCAGGTAACGGAAAGAGCGAGGTACGAGTGATGACGTTTTGGTGTGGGCGAAGCTCTAAAGGGAGGGGTTCCATGGGAGGGGGGTAGGGTGTGCGTTTGAGTGTTTATGGCCGTTTTCGGGTTTTCCCTCGGGTTTTTGCATGTTTTTCGGGTTCCCCCCCAAGACGGCCCAAGAGCGCTCCAAGAGAGCCCCAGACCGCCCAAGACGGCCCAAGAGGTCCCCAAGAGGCCCCCAAGAGGCGCCCGAGGGGCGTCCCAAGAGGGCCCCAAGAGGCCGAAACCATCGATTTCCCAAAGGAAAATGAGGAAAACGTATATTTTTAAGCATATGCGCTTTGTCGGCTTTCACGGCGTTGACGACGGCCCAGGAGGCCCCCAATACCGCCCCAAGACGGCCCGAGAGGCTCCCAAGAGGCCCCCAAAACGGCCCAAGAGGGCGCCAATACGGCCCAAGAGGCGCCCACGACGGCCCAAGAGGGCGCCAAGACGGCCCCAAGAGGGGGACCACGAACCGAAAAGTCTAGCCTTTCGCCCCAAGACGCCCTCAGAGCCCCCCAAGAAGCCCCAAGAGGCCCTCAAGAGGCGTCCCAAGAGGCCACCGGGAGGCGAAAATCATTGATTTCCAATGGGAAAGGGACATTTTTAGCATACAAGGCTTTTCGGCTTTCACTGCGTTGAAGACGCTCCAAGAGGCCCCCAAGACCGCCCCAAGACGGCCCAAGAGGCTCCCAAGAGGCCCCCAAAACGGCCCAAGAGGGCGCCAAGACGGCCCAAGAGGCGCCCAAGACGGCCCAAGAGGGCCCCAAGACGGCCCCAAGAGGGGGACCACGAACCGAAAAGTCTAGCCTTTCGCCCCAAGAAGCTCCCAGGAGGCCCCCAGAGCCCCCCAAGAAGCCCCAAGGCCCCCAAGAGGTTCCCAAGAGGCCTCCAAAAGGGCCCGACAAGGGCCCCAATAGGACCCCCAAGAAGGCCCAGAGACGCCAAATAGAGAGCGATCGGTAACGCAAAAAGCTCTTCACACCAAGGCTCCCAAGAGCGAACGGTGACGTAAACAAGCTGATAAGACCAAGGCTCCCAGCAGAGAGCGGTGACGTAACAAGTTCCTGACACCAAGGCCCAGCCAAGGCTCACGAACGGGCGGCAACGCAACAATCTCTGAACACCAAGGCTCCCAAGAGCGAGGGGTGACGTAACAAGCTCTCAACGCCAAGGCTCCCAGTACGAACGGTGGTGTGAGTAATTTCGGTTTCTGTTTCTGAAGCGCTCTTTCCGTTTCTGTGCCGGCCCAGGTCTAATGGCCTTCGGCCCATCCCGCCACCGTGCTTGGGTTGCAGGTCAGAGTTCTCAGAGATGTTTCCTCGGGTCTCTTCGGAGCGCTCTCGGGGGCCTTTCGGGAGCGGTGTGGCGGCCTCCTGGGAGCCTCTTGGGTGCCCCTTGGGGGCCTCCTGATGTCTTGGGGGCCTCCACTGATGTCTCTTGGGGGCCTCTTGGGGCCTCTTGGAGGCCTCTGGGGGGCCGAGGGCTCGAGATGTCCGTTCGGGTACCGCATCCTCTTGGGGCCGTCTTTGGGCCCTCGTGGGCCGTCTTGAGCGCCTCGTCGGCCGTCTTGGGGCCCTCTTGGGCCGTCTTGGGGCCCTCTTGATCGTTGAGCGTCTCGATGCGTTGTCGGGCCGTCTGAAGAGCATCTTGAGGGCCTCTTGGCCCATTTTGGGGCTTTCTGGTGCCCGAGAAATCCCGCGGGAAGACGCGGGAAGCCCCCGACAAGCCGCGACAAGCCCCGGGACATTTGTGAATTTGGGCTCCGGGCCCCTCTGGAGTGAGGATTGAGGTTTGGAGGATTGCGGAACGGACCTAGACACGACCACTCCGTGCCCAGCTGCACGGAGGCGGATATGAGCACCACATGATTCACCAGGTTTCTTTTCTCCTCCACCCCTCAAGTCTCCACCAGCCTCACCCGTAGCACAGCTGCTACCTCCAGGGAGGTGTTGTCGGGCTGCGCGGGCTCTGCGACACCCGTGCTGTTGATCCGCGATCCTGCTGTCCCCCCTCCACCAGCCTCACCAGTGGCACGGATTCTACCTCCGGGGACGCCTCGTCGGACCGCGCAGGCTGTGCGAAACCCATGTTACTCATCGGGGGTCGTGCCCTCCCTCCTCGTCCAGCCTCACCGGCAGCACAGCCTCTGCTTCCAGGGCGGTGGCAGCACAGACCTTGCCTCCAGCGAGCCCGTGTTCTGTCTGAAGGTGCGTACTCTCCAAAGTCATGTTTCCCCTTCCCGGGAGGCCTCGTCGGACCGCTCTCGTGGGCTCCCTGTTAGACTCAGGTGCGAAGTTCGCCTGACAGCGGGGCAAGAGCAGGGGCGCGCCCTTCCCCAAAGCAAGCAGCAAGTATGAGCGAGGGACCCACCTAAAGCCTAGGGGGAATATTCCAAGAGGCAGTGGGAGTGCGTCCTCAACATACGTCCTCTTCCTCCTTGCTGCTTCCCCTCCTTGCCTTCCTCTGCCCTTCCATGCGTGCAGATCAATGTCATGAGCCTCTCGTTCATATGTCTACTGCTATTCGCCGTTGAGCTCGCGAAGCCCTTAACATCCTTATCTGGGGAACTTCGATCGCGCCGCTATGGCACATAGCTTACACCCCACAGTGGGCACTGCCCAGATTGCACCCCACAGCAACTTGCACCACGCAGAGTCCGCATCGAGAGTGCAAGAAACCACTGTTTGGGCTTCATGCTGACAAGCATTTGTACGCAATTCGGCCGTACAAAGCAGTTCGCGCCACGCTCGTTCCCAGCTTGGGGACACCAGAAAAGCTGCATCATCTTCCCAATCCGTAGCCGTTTTGTTATAACTGGCACAGCCAGAGCAAGACAAGCATGCGCTTCACTGACGCACATGAGTTGGACTACCATGCGCAACATCACCACAGCCTCCCAGGGGACGCCACATCCTTCCTGATGAACAAAAAGATCCTGTATGACGCCGAAGGCGAAGAGGCATACTCTTGGAGACTGTGGCCAAGCCAGGGTAAGCTTGAGAAAGCGGCGCAGAAGGTAACCGCTGCATTGGAAAAGCAGCTCCAGGGTGATCCCATGGATGATGCGATGTTCAAGAAGCTCACAGACAATAACAACAAGAAGCTGAGCCACAGTCACTTGATGAAGCCAGAGGTCAAGGATGATCTCATAAAGTTGGGCAAGTGGATGAGATCATATCACGTCTGCCACACGAACTCGGGCATGTTGTGGGACCTCAGCAAGAAAAAACCTTGGGCTGCAGAGCTCCTGGGTCAGCTCCGGCCGATCTGCCGCGCAGCCGACCACTACGTGGACAAAGACGCCGAGCACTTCAAGGATCTCCTCATGAGGCTGACCCACGCCGTGTCGAACTGCGACGACGAGAAGTTCTACGACTGCGACGAGGGTGGCGCCTGCGTGTTCGACGACGGAGTCGGCAACTTCATGGAGTCCGTCGGCTGCAGATCGGGGAGCAAACAGTGACATGGCACATGATCTTTCGGAGGTCCGCGCAGATCTCTTGCAGCGGCGCTGGAGCCAGTCCCCTCCGGCGCTCGCTCCCCCCCCCCTGGCGCGCGCCGCGCGCCAGGGAGGGGGGCCCAGCGCCGATCCGGGAAGTCAGCGCGGACCTCCGACAGTTGATGCTGGCGTCGTTGTCTGCTCCCCGATGCCTCGCCCTCAGGATCGGCGCCGCGCCCGGGGGGGCAGCGAGCAGGGGCAGGCCTCCTCGGGAGGCGGCGGGCCCCCTCAGAGGCCCCGGCGCCGAGGAGGCCCACGGGCATGTCTTGGCAGGCCAGAGGCCCGCCGAGCCCTCCGAGCAGGCCCGCCCCCCCGACCCCCGACGTCGCGTTTGTTTCGCGGCGTTGACCCCCAGAGGTCTTGACCCCTTCCCCTGGGCCGGGTTTTCATCCCCGTTCGTTTCTTGACGGTCCCGAGGCCCGGCGAGGGCCAAGTCCCCGTCGTGACGTTTTCCACGGGACGAGGAGGCTTGGGCCCGCCCCCCCCCCCCCGGGGGGCTCACCGCCGACAGGAGCTGGTGCCCAAACAAGGACTCCCCCCTGTGCCAGTGTGCTGCGCCCTCCGCGGCCGCAGCTGCCCTGCGCCCGCCGCTGCCGCAGCGCGCAGGGCGGCCGCGGGCGGGGCGCGCTCGGCGCGGGGCACGCGGGGCGGCGGCCGCCTTCCTGTGAGGAGACCTCTTCCATCCTCTCTCCTCCTCCATCATTCCTCCTCCATCCTCCCTCTTCCTCCTCCCCCTCCTCCTCCGCCTCCTCCTCCTCCTCCTCCTCCTCCCTCCCTCCGCTCCTCCCTCCTCCCCTCCTCCTCCTCTTCCTCCTCCCCCTCCTCCTTCTCCTCCTCCTCCTCCTCCTCCTCCTCCTCCTCCTCCTCCTCTTCATCCTCTCCCTCCTCCATGACGTTCCCACACCAAAAACCATTGGACGTCCTAGGGTTCCAGGGTGGGGGTTCCTGTGGAAGGTTTCTTGTGGTCGAGCTCCTGCTGCATGTCCAGCTCCATCCCCATCCCGATCCCCACCGTCCCACCACTCCAGTCGGGGGCGTGCCCCTCGAAAGTCGAAGGGAACAGCCCACATCCCCATTTCGGGGGGCGAGTCGGCCAGTGGGGCCCAGGCGGCCACGCCCGTGGGGATGGGGATCGGCGAAACGATGCCCAGCCAGGGTTGAATGAATGAAGCCGCGTGTGCGTGGGCATTCGAGCAATGGCACCAGCGTGTGCCAGACAGTGTACTTGCGCACTGCTGCTTTCCAGGCTGCCGATGGAAATGTGTTCAAGTTGGATCTATTGCAACGAAGCCAATGCAGGGTCAACATCGGACAGGGACACATCGGGGATCTCTGCGATCCGCTTGTTCTGGAGGATGTGTCAGGCGCCGCGGCCTTCTCAGAGCGTTGCAGAACGCTCTGGTGGTGTTCCGGAACGCTCCCGAACGATTCATCCTTGTCCTACGTAGCCCCGCACGAAGGCGACGGAGCAGGGCGGCAGCGTGCACGTCAAGTGCCGCATCGTAGGCGCCCGCCCGCGGGGGGGACTACGATCACGACGACGACGATAACGATAACGATGACAACGACGACTTAACGATGACGACGACGGCGGAGACGACGATGGCGACGACGGCTGAGACGACGATGGCCACGGCGGCGACGACGACGAGGTGGCGGTAGCGCTGAGCCTCGCCTCCTGGGAGGGCACCGGCGCGGGCGATCGCGCGGGGAGGCGCGCGCGCGATCGCGCAAGGGACAGGGGCACCGGCAGGGCCTCCTTCGCCAGCCTCGCTAGTCGTCGCCCTCCAGCGGAGACCCATGCCAAGAAACACCGCCTCCTCCTCCTCCTCCTCCTCCTCCTTCTCCTCCTCCTCCTCCTTCTCTTCCTCCTCCTCCTCCTTCTCTTCCTCCTCCTCCTCCTCCTCCTTCTCCTCCCTCCTCCTCCTCCTCCTCTTTCCTCCTCCTCCTCCGCCTCCTCCTCCTCCCCCTCCTCCTCCGCCTCCTCCTCCTCCTCCTCCGCCTCCTCCCCCTTCTCCTCCGCCTCCTCCTCCTCCTCCTCTCTTCCTCCTCCTCCGCCTCCGCCTCCTCCTCCTCCCCCTCCTCCTCCTTTTCCCTCCTCCTCCTCCTCCTCCTCCTCCTCCTCTTCCTCCTCTTTCTCCTCCTCCTCCTCCTCCTCCTCCTCCTCCTCTTCCTCCTCCTCCGCCTCCTTCTCCTCCCCTCTCCTCCTCCTCCTTTTTTCCTCCTCCTCCTCCTCCTCCTCCTCTTCCTCCTCTTCCTCTCCTCTCCTCCTCCTCCTCCTCCTCCTCCTCCCAGGGCTCGCGTCCGCTTGCGCCTACAGTGGAAACCCATGCCAAGAAGCACCCTGCTTGGCTCCAGGTTGCCCACGGTTCCGTGGGCTTCGATATGGTATTGCTGTGGAGAGCGCGACGCTCCCGCGCCAAAAGCCCCTGGGCGTCCTGGGGTTCCAGGGTTGGGCTTCCTGTGTGGAAGGTTCCTCCTACAGGGGTCGGGCGGGTCCTCCTACAGGGGGATCTTGGACAAACAATAAGAAATAGCAAACAAATGTTTCCAAATGGTCCACAAAAACTCGAAAGATCGTCCCCAGACTGTTTTTTAAATACTATTCTTGAATATACCTCCTGTGGAGGGACATGCCCGACTCAACTGTAGGGGCCCGCTCCTCCGGGCGGCGAGGCGCCGCTCTCTTCTGTACCGGCCCGTCCCAGCGCCCCCCCCCGCTCGACGGCAGGGGGGGTCCCGCCCGCGGTTTTCGAGGCTCGAGTCGGGTAGCCAGGACCCTAGGCAAGGAGGCCCGGTTAGTAGTAGGGCCCCAGAGCCCCTAAATTTGCCAGAGTTACTAAACCAAGTCTGCCGTAGCTGATGTTTTTCGGTTGACGGCAGTTCTGGTTAGTGGAACGGGCGGGGGGAGGGCGTCCCCCAGTAAACATAAACCAGGTCCCGCTAAACCCAGTTCTGCCAACGCCCGATCGAGGCTCTCGTTTCGCACGTGTTCGTCGGTTCGAGGCGGTTTTTCAGCCTCGCGGCTCGAGGTTCGAGGTTCGAGGATCAGGAGGGGGACTCGCTCGCGGTTCGAGGTTCGAGGCTCGAGGCTCTTGTTTCGCGCGTTTTCGTCGGCTCGAGGCAGTTTTTCGGCCTCGGGGTGCTCCCCAGCGGCTGCGCCTCGCCGAGGGGCGTCCAGAGGTATCCTGATCATCCCGAGTGGCCGCCGGGGCCCCGAGTGATGACGCGAAGGACCAGACGACGAGGGTCACTGGGGGGGGGGGGACTGGTCGCAGGGGGGAGCATTCGCCCCGAATCGTCCATGTCGTCGTTTTCTTATTCTCTGTTTTGCCGATCGGCACGGGCCCTCGCGCACCCTCTCCTCCCCTCCCCCGTGGAGTGGAGCTTGGCTGTCTTTTTGGCGCCTCTTTCAAGCGGGTGGGGCCTCCCCCAGGGGACGCACGGTTGCAAGCAGTCGCAATAAGCAGAGGTCCGGAGCCAGACCCCCCCCCCTCTTCCCACCTTTCCGCCCTTCTCCTCCTCCTCCTCCTCCTCCTCCTCCTCCTCCTCCTCCTCCTCCTCCCCTTCCGCCTCCTCCTCCTCCTCCTCATCCTCCTCCTCCTCCTCCTCCTCCTCCAGCCGCTGCAGCGGCCCAGATCACCCCCTTTTCCCGCGGCACTTCAGTACACTTCCTAACAAAGTCAGGTGTTTCAGCGGCATGGCTTCTCCCTCGAGGGGCTCTCCTCGCCCGTGAGAGAGGGGGTCGGGCCCCTCGCGCGAGGCGCTGGCTCCTCGCCGTGAGCGCCTTCGCCTTCCTGCAGCTGGGCGTGATTGGCGCCCTGGCGATGGAGAGGACCCGCCCCCACGCTGAAGATGGCAACACTTTCACACTTCGTACTTGCGTTTATAATCCCATGTTCCTGACGGGGGCTACGCGGGCATCGGAGGTCTCTGACGAATTCAAGAATATTGGAGCTATCATGCTGCCAGGTACCTCCCGTCGCCAGACAGAGGACACACACTCACTTTTCCTTCATCCTTATCATTGGGAACTGAGTTTTGGGTGGACGAGGGCCTCCAACAAGAGTTGCGGGGTGTCGATCTTCCTCCACCAGAGGCGCTTCCCGAGGAACTTCATCCGTAAGATTTTCACGCCGCCCAGTTTCTTAAGTGGACGTGGCGGAGCAGTACGTTTAAAATCACAGACCTCGGACGTTCTCTTCATGGTGCTCTACTTCCCCACTCTTCCGTCACTCCGCGGCGGACGTACACAGTATCGGAACATCGTGCTGGGACTTTGCAACTGGGCGAAGTCGGTCATCAACGGAGTGGGCTCCAGGTGCACACCGTTTGTCGGCATCGATTTGAATGACCAACTGGGCTTCTGCGCAGACGACACGCTAGACGGCGAGTGCGTCACGGCCCCACGGGACACCATTACACACGGCGCGGACTGGGACTGGGAACGGGAAGCCGACGCACACGTGGGCCCTTGTGGTGCTGAGTTGGAGCACTTCGCTGGCAAGCATTGGCACCAGGTTCTGAGGGACACGGCGTTGAGCGCGATCAACACGCACTACCCAGCGGGGCCAACGTTTCACGGGCCACAGGGTCACACGTCGCGGATAGACTTTATCCACGCTCCGACGGGATTGCTTCCTCACGTCCGTGTCTGCCGTGTCCTTCGACCCGCGGGGAGGCGGCTCCAGCCCGTGAATACCCTGGACGACAGGGACCACCGCCCCGTCTTCATGGAATGCAGCTACCGCTTCGAGGCCAGTCCAACCCCGCGGCAGTGCTGGGACTTCGATGCCATGATGCGCATCCTGCGAGGCGGGGAGGAGTGCACCTCAGCGGTGGAACGGGTCCACGAAGCCATCCTGACCATCCCTGAAGATGAATGGGTACGGCTTTGCTCACGGCCGACGACGGACGAGCTGTGGAACTCTATTTCGGTACTGCTCAGGGAGGCGGCGCTGACCGAGTTTTTACGCCCTTCACCAGCGGCGGCTGAGAAGTCGGTCCTGGAGAGGCAGCGTTCGGAGGTCTTGGCACGTCGCCGTCGGTTACGTGAACTCCATTTTGGTCGAGACTCGGAGGCACGTGCGGACGTCGAACTGGATTTGGCGAGGATCACGTTCAGGCTCAGGCAGCTGTCACGCCAGATTACCAAGGAACGCAACTCCCTGCTGGTCGGCGAGCTCAACTCCGCCTGGAGGGAGCACGACCACTTCGCCGTGCAGACTCTGCTTCGGCGCCTGGCCCGCAAGGGCCGAGGGCCCCGACATCGGAAGTACTTCAAGGCACGCGAGGAGAACTGCGAACCACAGGACATCGCCGACTTCTTACGCTTGCCCGCTCAGCAGGGCGGACTCTCGGCGGTGGACTGCGACCTTCAGGCGGAGCTGACGGAGCGCTTCGACCGCACCTTCGAGGGGGACGAGGCTCACCGCACGGATCAGCAGCGCTACGACACGATGCAGATGGTAGATTTAGAGGCGGCAGATCAGGACCTCTCGGGCGTCATCAGGGCGCTTCGCAGGGCACCGAAGAGACGAGCTACGCCCGCGTGGAGTATGCCGTCGGAGCTCTGGCTGATCCTGATCGACCCCGACCAGTGGCACAAGTTCAAACGTGGTGGAGTGGGTTCGTGCCCTACCCCTGCGACGGCACAGGCCTTCAGGGA